AGAATTGTTGGGCATAGAACACACCAGTGTGTGTGTGTGTGTGTGTGTGTGTGTGTGTGTGTGTGTGTGTGTGTGTGTACTGAGGCTTGGACTTGAACTCAGAGCCGTGTGCACTTGCTTAGCAAATTTGTTTTCCCCTCAAGGCTACCGCCCAATCACTTGAACACATCTCTACTCCTGGCTCTTCAGTGGTTAATTGCCTAAACTGGTTTTGGACCATGATCCTCGGGTCTCAGCCTCCTACATAAGCAGAATTACAGGTGTGAACCACCAACGCCTGTCTAGTTTGTTCTTTTCCTTCTGACTCAGGGTAGCCTTTCAGCATGCAGAAGTTTTCCACTTACGTAACTCAGTCTTTTTTCACTGTTCTCACTTAAGGCTCAGTTAAGAATTATGTGTAGATCTTTTGAAGTGTTTGCCTTTTTTAATGCATAATATTCCATTTGAACAAAATTCAATGTAGGATGTGAAATCAGAAATCGACCTTTTCTCTTCCAACAACTTTTGAACTGGCCAGCCAAACCACTGTCAAACACCCTGCTTTTTCCACTCTGACCTAAGAAAGCTCCTGGCCTTGGGCTGGACCTCCAGTGTTTACCCCAGTGTTTAGCTCCAGATTTTATTTTCTGCTGTGTCGCATTTCTCTGTGTCCCTGTAAAGCCCCCATATTCTTTTAATTATGGAAACTCAAGGTAGGTTTTAGAGCGTAGAAGGGCAAGGCCCTTTCACTTTTAAAAATCAGGAGTTAGATTTTTAGCACCTTCCCAGGTGAACTTTGTCATGTTCTCCCCACAAACATTTTGTTTGGTATTTTGATTGGCATCATGTTAAATGGATTCATTAATCGGCATCTTTTCAATATTAAATCTTCCTCCCTCTCCACCGGCTGGAAGCATTTTGTCCTTCCTTTGAACTTCCCCAACACTTCATACCTTAAAAAAATTCACTCTCTAAACTATACCCACACAATTTCTCCAGCCTGTAATCTGAGTGCCACCCTCTCCCTCTCTTCCCAACCCTCACCCCATCCAATTAATCATCAAGGCCCATCTGTACAGCCTCCTAAATTCATCCGCTTCTGCCTGTCCCCTCCACTAGCACCCCAGTCCACACTGCCAGCATTTCTTTGCTGAGCCACCACCTTGGCCTCCATCTGACCTCTGCACTGCAGCCAGAACCACTCTATTTAAGAGACCAATCTGTTTGTGAGAACACCAATGCACAGCACTTCAAGAGGAACTGAGAAAAAGATCCTAGGCGGAGTCTGGACAACCTGGTCTGAACTTGCAGCTTGGACCCAACCAGTCCATCCTTTCTTGCCTTATTCAGAGTGATTATCAAGTGAAAGCATTTATTTTTCCATCTCAGGGCCTTTGCATGTTCTGTTTCCCCTCTGTAGACTATTCTAAGAGTTTTCCCATTATCCACTTTAAGAAGATTCAGTTTATGCCACCATTTGAGAGGCTGAGGCAGGTGAATGGTGACTTTGAGGACCAATTTGTGCTACATAGCAAGAAAACAAGAAAAAAGAATATCCCATTATCCAGAGCAATTCCTTTTCAGCCCCCATTTTGTCTGCTTTATTCAAGTCAGTGTCTAGCAATAAAAGATGAATGGCAGTAATAAAGATGATACTCATAACCTGTGTTTCCAAATAGTAAGGGATGGCTTCCTCCACCTGATCATGTTGCCAGTGCTTGCAGACGTGTGTTCGGCTGGCACTGCCAGCTTGTGAGAGTGAGGCCTGGTCTTACAGAATTTGCACGGATATCGATGCTGAAATCCACTCTTTTCTTTTAAACTTCCATGCTTCCTTACTTGTCCTGTGGGCACGGGGAAGTGGGTAGTCCATTTACAACACAGGGAAGGGCTTTCAGGAAGCAAGTCCAGCACTCTGACCCCTGGGGTGAGCAGCTCACCCGTTCATTGTCCAATGCCAACATCAGATCGCACCGGCCGCTCCCTGGCCTGGTGTGTCTGCAGCTTCCCAGCAAAGCACATGATGCTGAGCGCAACGTGCATGATCAGTGCATTCCTGCCTATGTGTCTGCAGCTTCCCTGTGAAGCACAAGGCACTGAGCGCAATGCGCATGCTCTGTCCATCCCTGCATGATGTGTCTATAGCTTCCCTGCATAGGGCACAACACTGAGTATAAGGTCAATGCTCAGAAGATGCATGTGTCATGAGAATGAGGTACGGAAAATTCAAATGTTATTATGCCGTAACCTCCTCTAAGAAGCATTCCTTGATTTCTCCTACTTAGTCAACCTCTACTCAGTATCCTCATAACCCTTTTTGCTTTTACACCTCTTAGGAGATTTAACATAATTATAACACTTCAAAAGTAGCTGTCTCTTCTTCCCTGACTTTAGAATGCTGAACAACACTGATTTTATTGGTTCTGTTCTTTGTGCATAATTTCGAGCACATGTGTGTTCAGGAATACGGATTCAGAGAGTCAGCCATTTCACAGCTATCTGCCTGAAGTCCAGCCTAGATATTGTTGGTAGTTTGAAGTATAGGTACAGATGAGAATCTCTGCTATCAGTGGACACACACACACACACACACACACACACACACACACACACACCACCCCTACCCAGTTCCAAATGACTACAATCCCTCTGAAAACTTGGGTCACTCCTAACTGCACAGAGAGTTGAAGATGGGTTCCAACGTACTTGTGAGTATACCTGCTTATCTCCCCCAGTCCTGCGACGGTGATTGGCACCTTGAAGACACGAGCAGTACTGCAGATGTGAGAGGTGTCCAGGAGAGAAAGCCACTCACCTAGCTCAGGGATCATCCAAACTCCTGGCTACCTCTCCCCCAGCCAGTCCTCCTCAGCCTCCTCTGTCATCCTGGTAGTCCTCTTCCATCCTGTAGCTCCTTTTCCTTCCCCCCACCCCCCTCCTCTACCTCCATGCTCATATCCAGTTACCTCCTATCTTCATTCTTCCAGGCTCAACACCCTCAAAGTCTTCCCCTCAGAACCTCTCACCACAGCCACCTTCCTGCCCTACCTCCCAGCATGCTTCACTGGCCTCATGCTTCCTGTGCAACCAGGGCTCTTTTCTACTTCTTGGCCTGCCTGGGCCAGGACATCACTGTTCACACAATCATGAACCATATGGTACCGCACACCAGTGAGCGGCGCCCTGGAATGGGGACAGGAGAAGGGAAGCCATGTACATGGACCGGAGAGGGAGGGCAGACTGCTGTGGCTTGTCCCTTCCTGTGACCCACCAGATTGCCCAAGGTCCCCTCCTTCAGAGAGGCCTCCCTATCTCCATGCCCAGGCCCACTTGCTCTCCTTACCTCATGCCTCACTGCCTGAAGTGCTTTGTCATCGGTGTCACCCCCTAGTGCATGAGCGTTATACTAAGATGAGGACTAGGCCTGGCTCCCTTCCCTGGCTGGGAGATAGCCCCGTGGAGGTCACAAAAGAAAGACCACCTTGAATGAGGGCTGCACTGGGCCTCTGGGGGCTTAGAACTGTGAGCCTGTGGCCACCTTGGAATGTCTATCAATAGTAATAGTAATAATACTAATACTACTAATAATAATTCTTGAGATGCGCTTATCTCAGGAGGACAAATTCCAAGGCAAAGTTTTAAATGAGCACACCTAAACGTGATCCTTCCCACCCCTCCAGTTTATTACCCAGCTGGAAACACAAAAGAAGGATGAAAAAAATTTATCACATGCTGCGTTTGGAATCTGCCCAATATAGTTCCTGGTATCTGGGGTTCTCTTGTCTACATCCCTTATTTCCTTTTTCAAGGTCCAGTATTCTACCTTCAGTGCCACCTGCCTTCCTGTCAACCACACTCTCTCCAAACGCAACGCTGTGGCCCGCTGGCCTAGGCAAGGAGCCCCAGCTGTCCTCAGACTTCTTGCCAAAGCAAATGTGAACGTCCCTTCACAAGCCCTCCCTTCCTCAGAAAACACAATTAGAACGAAATGCATGTGACAGAACACTGGCCTCCCAACCACTTCTGCGTGTGCAAAGCAGTAGTGTAATGTCTACACTGTGGTGAACACTTGTAATCTGGGTCACTGAATGACCACTCATTCTCCCCACGTCCCCTTCCCCTCAAGAGCCGCCATTCACAACGGCCTCTATGAATCTGACTCCCCTCTTGGGCTGTTTTGTAGTCTCATGCCCTCCTCTTCCCACCTCACACACAATGAGACCTGGGTAAAGCCCTGCAATGCACCTGTCTCTAATGGTGACACCAAGCACCATCTTGCCTGTGCACGTCCTCCTCTCCCTGCGGCCTGTGCACATGGCATTCCACAGTCAGAATAGTTCTCATCCTCCTTGCCCATCCAAGCCCTCCCCCTCCCTCAAATGTGGCCTTCAGTTTCCATCAACTCCATCCCACAACTCCAGATACCTCTGACTCTGCTTGAGACGCACAGTCTCTCCACTGGATATGCTCTGCCTTTCATTTACAAAGTCTCCATCTTACTAATTTCTCCAAAAGTTAATGAGCTTCCAAACAAGGAAGAAGCTATGGCTTAGACATCATTGGTACATCTCACCTAAAAAGAAGAGGCATGTGATAAATTCAAAACTTAACAATCATGCAAAGCAGAAATTCAGGAGCAATTGCACTGCTATGTGATTTTTACTTTCAAGATGTTTCCAAAAACATCACTCTGCCACACAGTTGGGAAATGTTCTCGAGTCATTGTCAAGAAAAACTTACAATCCACAATGTCAAGAGCTGTTATCTGTCTGCTTGTAGTGAAGCCCAAGTCAAATTTGTAAGGGGGTGTTCGGCAAGTGAGCTGTCAAGGGCATCTTCTCCAGCATGCAGAAGCTGCTTATCCACACACAACCCGAATCCAGTCTACACTTCCTCATCCAGTGACTAGCCTTTGCCCCACATTTCCCACAGCAACAGAAAGGTGTAGAAAAGTTAGCTGGAGCATAAAGAGGCTGGGAAGGGAAGGAGAGCAAAGGCTGGAGAATCACCTGGTCACTTACCTGTGTAAATGAATCTTCCCAGCGCTCCTTTGCAGAACTGTTTGGATTTGTAAGATAATGTCACTTCCACAACACCAGGGATGTGCTGGGGAGGGGTCTGCACAAGGATGGCATCGGGGGTTATCAGCTGAGGAGGGACACAGAGGGGAAAAGAATACCGTTAGAGCAACCTCCATCAAGGACGCCACTTCTGGCAGCATGCATTCATTCATGCAGCAATTTCCAAGCCCAACACAGCACTAAGACCTGTCTTTCTGTAATGTTTCTTGTTGTTGTTGTTGTTGTTATTATCATCATCAGAAGAGTAGAACATACCTGATGTATAAAGCTGAAAAAATGACACAAATATCTAGAGGGAAGTAATGTTGCATCACTCAGAGATAGTCAATGTCATTTGATCCTCTTCCAATACATTCCAGGGCTGTGTGTCACAGAATGAGCTTTCCCCTGGGCAGGAGCTGTCCTGATTTGTGAACTTGTTTGCATTCTAGTACAAACATAGGCATATCTCTCCTCTCATCAGAATTTTTCTGTATCAAAATTTTCAATGGTGGCATCACATTCTATTGTGTGTTGTTGTTGTTGTTGTTGTTTTACCATTCTCCTATAATCCAATATCTAGGCCCTTTTTTTTCTTTTCTTCCTTGCTTTTGTTTTTTAATGTACATTATGTTCCAATGTACATCTGTCTTTTTAAATTGGTACGGGGGTTTGAACTCAAGGCCATGGACTTTCTTGGCAGTCACTCAACCACCTGAACCACATCTTCAGACCTTTTTGCTTTGGTTATTTTTGAGTCTTGGTCTCATCTTTAGGCCAGGGCCAGCCTGGATTGTGATCCTACCATCTATGTGTAAGTCTCTGCTCTTTATTAATCTCTATGAGGGTTTCTCACCCACTTTCCCCAGGCTAGCCTTGAACCATGACTCTCCTGATCCCTACATCTCCCAGGCAGCTAGGATTACAAGTGTGAGCCACCACGCCTGGTAGGCATGTGTGTTTTTAAGGAATCTGTCCTTGCCAGACTCATGACCTTCATATCTTGCTTTCCTTTTTGCTCTGCTCATAGTAGGTGCCCAGTACTAGGCTGCTCATGCTGCTGCTTTGGGAATTAAGTAGCCTTTCACACACGAGCATTGTGCCAAACACCACTTGGAGACCATCGAAGAAGTTGTTGCCATTGATGATGACCATAGCGCTGCCCGTGGTGCAGCCCTCATTCGGGCTGATGGCTTTGATGCAGAGGGTAGCTAGGAGGGCAGGAAAAAGGAAAGTCATCTTTGTCCTTAGGTGCCTGAAGTTTAGATTTTGAGGAATGAGCTTAGCTTTTGGTCATCTGAAGAAGTTCAAGTTCAGTGGTGTTAACTTGCCATCCTTCCCTAATTGGATGTTGATTTTTTATACCAGGCCATTAAGCCTAATGAGTTGACCATTATGTACAAAAAAGCAAAACACTTAGCTAATTGTGCAAAAGGTGTTTTTAAAGCTCTGTTGTTTTTGCCCATATTTTTATAAGTGAATCACACTAGAAAAGTGTAAATCCTTTTGCTCTCCCCACCTCCTCTGCCCCGTGACACCAGAAGACTTACAAGGCCCATTAACATGCTGGGAAGAAAGGGAGAGAGCAAAAGCTATCATTGCTGAAGTTCTTTTTATTTTGGGCTTTGTCTTTTCTTCCAGTTTTATCAAGAGGCAATTTCTAATCATTCTTGTAGCTTTATAGGAATGGTTTTCCTCCCTTCCTGCCAGCCTTCCAGGCCTCCTGACTTTACATCCCAATAGGAACCCAATATGGTTTTCAGGCCATAACTAAAGTCAATCCATCACTCCATTTCCAAAGTTGTCAAGGTCAAAACTGGAGGAGAACTTTGGCAGGACTCCAAAAACACGAGCCCCCTTTGAACAGCCAGTCAATCACATTCAATCAATCAAAAGAAACTCAAGGGGCTCCTAGCTCTCAACCCTGGGGTTTGCTTCTCTCCTTTTAGTACCCACTGTGGGAGAATTAACACTACTTCAAATTCTTTACTGATTCAATCATTTTCTTTCAGTTCATTAATTCCTATTTAAAGTGATACAAGATACGTTTTAAGGGCTGAGGTGGGGTATAGGCTGGTAGGCAGGATATAGGAAAACATCACACTAAAAATAATAGCCTCACTTGGCCATTCATTCTGTATTATAAGGCTTTCTTACATTGGTGAGTGGAGGAGGAAGGGGAGTGAATGAAGGCAAACTCTCTTAAGTTTGTCAGTAATGTTCATCAATACATGTTAATTTTTTTGGACAACTTGAAGTTTAACAGTTACCATATTTCTAATTACTTTAATGCACTTGGAAAACTACCCAGAGCTGCCCGTGATTTCTTCTTGTCCAAGCAAACAAAAATCAATTAGTGTCAGTTTCATTCTGCACATTGTTTTGTTTTGCCCACAATCTGTTTAAGGACACATCTGACACTCATTCATACATATCTGGCATGGTAATGTCCCTGTTTAACTAAGATGTCATAGGCCTGCACTTACCCGAAATGCAAAGAGAAAAACACAGCGCTGGATGGGAGTCAGAGGCACAGGAAATGGAGCGCTGGCTGGGGGCTGAGCGGGGTTTGTGATGGTCCAGGCCTCAGTGTTTACAGAAACCCACACGCTCTGGGGGTACTTCCTCCAGGTGATGCTGATACAGCAATGTGAAATTCCAACAAGGAATCTTGTAGAAAACTTCCATTTATCTGCTACGCTACTACCTTCAGATGGGTCGAGCCTCCTCAGTCTCCGCCCGTGCTTGGAATTGTTGTGGATGAATACGTTATCCGAGACAACCAGCACGTGTCCATCCACATTTATGGTGGTCGACAACACCACCTGCATGGAAAGGACAGTGGGAAGTACCAAGTCCCAAACATCCCAGAATTCCCTCTCACCAGACTTTTGTATGACAAAGAGGAGATGGGACAGAACTTGGGAATGAGTTATGTTCTTAATAGCTCAACAGACTTTTACCCCCTCCTGTAAGTATGGAAAAGCTTTATAGCAGGGGAGGATGGGCTGGAGAATGAGAGGCAGTCCACAGCCCATGTGTTGTCATGTATTTGTGTTTAATCTCTGTGTCATGAGATTGGAAAATTGGCCTTGTGCCTGTGAGGTCCAGAAACCTTACTCTCTCTCAAAGGTTTTGGCTGTTATTTCCAGCAGGGCTTTGAACTTTAGTCACACTGAGTGGGTGCAGTGTGGAATCCAGGATCGATGGAATGGTCAGCTGGAAGACCACTTCTCCACCCTGGGAAATGGTTCCCACACTTCAGAAGTGGCCCCAAACCATGCCAGGCATCAAAATGCCAGTGGATGGGTGTCCACAGCCTCCTTTCCCACTCAGAAGCAGTAAGTAAAGATGCTCTGATTGTTGGCAAGAAGCTGAAGTTCCCAGGATTCACTGTGGGGAAGAGGAGGACCTGGTATCTCACTGGAGGAAAGGAAGGGAGGCAAGAGTATGGCATTGTACAAGGACAAGAATTTGGATTGAGAACCCATACAAGTCCCAAGTTGCAACTTCCCACAATGAATCTATGACAAATGACTGAATGTTTTTCATTCTCATTTCTGCTTATCTGTACAACATAAATAAAACGACCTAGCTCTCAGGCCTGCATGAGAAAATGAAAGACGCACTCAATACCTTCCAAATTAGAATCGTGTATAGCCTGTGGGCCTCACCCCTGCCCCATCTGACTGGCCAGGAACACGCTGATGCTACCTGCAAGATTCTCCCATGATCTAAGTTCTGGGAGCCCACCTGGGTCTGCCTACCACCCATGGGCTTTACCTAGGAAGCTGAGCCATCAGGACAACAAACTATGTCTCAACTTTCCTCAGTTAAGCATGAGATTTTTTTTTAAAGGAAGGAACTTGTTATATTCATGCTCATGAATTTGTATAGCGCACTGGAGGAAGGGCATTGAATAGGTAGATAATGAGAAGCAGTGTTTCCAAATGACTCATTCTGCCTCTGCCCCCAAATGTAATTTGTTGATATTCTACTTGTAATTGTGCCACCCCTTTCTTCCTCATTAAATGAGGGAGGAGGGGGGAGGCACTTGACCCTGCCTTACCTCTTAATAGGAAAGAACTCAGTGACATTTTAAACCTTGTTATTATGAATAAGTTAAGATGAGCAAAACAAACTCAATAGTGTAATGACTCCCTAGTCCCATTGTTCAGACTCAAGACTTATCAAAATCTTACTGTTCTCATTTCATGTGTGTGATGATGGTGGCCATAGGTTTGGAGGTGGAGAGGGTTTTGGTACTTGTTTTTTTAAGTTAAAAATTACAGGCACTGAAGTGCATGAGACTTAGCCGTATACTCACATTGCTTTAATGATATGAAATAATTTCTGTTTCCAGAAAATTGTCTTAGGCCCTTTCCCAGTCACTCCTAACCACCACCACCCCAAACACACAAAGGAACACTCTTCTCAGACATCTATAGATGTTTTACCCTAAAGAGAGTTTGAGATGGTATCTTTTCTTATTTTTATAATGTTTGTTGTTTGTAATGCAGTCTGTTTGAGTAAATCTCTAAGATTCTCAAGCCCACAAATATTCCACACTGCCTCACTCCACAGGCAGACGTGGTGTACATGAAATCCCATACGGACACAAGAAGGTTTCAATCACTCAACTCAACAGATATTCACTGAGCTCCTACTACATGGCAAGCATTAGGACAGGCCCTGGGAGGCTCAAGGAATAAACTTAAAGAAACCTCAGTTGTCATTCAGAAAATTATCACCCATATAATTGCTCACAATTCAGGGATGCAGCCTCTCTAGCTCTGCGTCTGTTTTCAATTGTGACTGTGTTAACAGGTTAGCATCTGAGCAAAGTCCTTCTCGAGAGTTCTATCATGTGGTGGCAACAATAAAACAGAGCTATCCATCACTCTTGGCACGAGTCCTGATCAGAGTGATCATGGCAAAATGCAAGATATGTCACAGCCAAGGCAACAGACTGGACTGCATAAGCATAGGGGCCAGGTGATCGGGGAGTAAAGCCATTGCTCATGAGGCTGTGTACCCCTGAAAACAATAGGAGGGGTTGGGCCACTTAGTAACTATGAATGCACATGGATTCCACCCACCACCACCACCCAAAACAAAGGCTGTCACCTGTGGGAAACAAGCCAAAAGTCCCAAATGACCACCAGGAAAGGTGCTTCTGACATGAGCCCAGAGAAGGGAACTCCAGCTGCATGAGAGAACAGTGTGAACTGGGGCGCATTCTCTCAGAGAAGACACAAGCGTGCTTCTGGCCTGCCATCCCTGTGCTCCTGGTACATTCCTGCCACAGAAAAAGGGGCTTTCACCGAACCAGCGGATTTCATCATCATCCATTTGGGTGGAGTGAGACTGACTTCCAAAGTGAACATTTCCCAAATGACATACCCTGCCGGTTCAGATGCACTTCATTATTTTCTATTAACAATGGAAATAAATTTTAATCTCTTGCTGGCTACTGCCGGCCTCTCATAACAGCAAGAGAATTAACCTGAATTATTTCAGTGTCTGCAAAATTTATTACAAGATTTTAAATTATGTCCAAATGTGTGTAAATATATATATATATATATATATATATATATATAGAGAGAGAGAGAGAGAGAGAGAGAGAGAGAGAGATTGAAAGAGACAGAAAGACAGAGGAGAGACAGATGAGGCAAGTTTTAGTTTTTTTATATTCCACAAAGAGCATGCCAATTAAACTTGATTTGCAAAATACAATGGATTTAACGCACAGACACCATCACAGGAATTCAGGCACATTGGCTATTGTGCCTCTGGTGCAGATGTGTATTCAGATGCTGACTTTCCTACTTTCCTACACACTCACTCTATTTCTGGAAGAATGAACTCCATTAGGCAGGTGAAAATACTTCTGATTCACTCAACGCTTTGAATTTAATTTCCTTCACTGTCTCTTGATGAATGATGACAACCCTGATATTATTCTATTCGGAGAAGTTAAAATTTCTAAATGTTTTAAGACTGAGGGAATTGGGACATGCATTCCAACATCATCTCACTCCCAGGCTTCCCCTTCCCCCGAGCCAACTTCTTTCCTCTAGTGAGTATTTCCTGGGTCATGGAGACTGACCTTTTCCATCTGGAATCAATAGTTAACCCCTGACAACTTCCTGAAACACCTCACTCAACTTCCTGTTCTCTCCCCCTTCTCCCTTTCCCCCTGCTTTGCTCCACTCTTCAAAACTGTAGGCCCCAGC